TTCTGGGGTGAAAGCAAGAGCGACGGGCGGCATGGGATTACCAGGTCGCTTAAAAATTGATGATCAATAAGCGTTCGAGAGAGTGAACCCACAGGGATTACCCCAGCTCCTGAAAACACCCACTGAGTCCCAGCACTGGATCCTGAGAGCAGTTATTGTGGGATTTGTATCTAAACCAGTGTTTCACAGATAGTTTAGCATTTCTCATTCATCATTAGCTAAAGCTAAAGCCCTGAAGCCCTTCTGGAGCTGAATCAGGTGTGTCAGAGCAGGAAGAACCACAGCACTGTAGAGCAGAAGTCATGCCACCTAAGCCTGCACTAAGCCATGTCTGGGCCCCTGAAATGAACTGAAAGGGCCCCCCTCTACCTGAAGTCAGATCAAGATTGTGATAAGAAATAAGTTTTAGAGTCTTGAAAAAATTAAAACAAAGAAAATCTAACAAATACAATGTTTCAAATTGAACCCCACTGTAGTTTTGTTTAAATAACTGCTTTTATAGAACATTTAATATTCATTTATGGACCAATTTTATTGACTGGCCCGATGATTCAGCTGTCATTCTAAAATGCTGCACTAAAATCATTTTTGATACCTTTACATTTTTTTGATATACTTATAGAAATATCTGCCCTGTGATGGACTGGTGACCTGTCCAGGGTGTTTCTAGCCTTCCGGCCAATGAACGCTGGGATAGGCTCCAGCACCCCGTGTACGTTCTGATCTGATATCTTTTCATTTATTTGGCATGCTTATGTGAAATAATCATTATGTAGTGTTATGAATTTGATACACTGCAAAAGTGGTATCTTAGCAAGTGATATTGTCTTTAGTCAAGTCAATATATCTACTGTTTCTCATTTTGAGATTGTTGAAACTTTATTATAAGATTATTGAACTTATTTCTAGACTGTTTTGTGTTTTGAGTAAATTTAGTAAGTCAAATTATCTCACTGTATTAGCAGATAGTTTTGCTTGTTGTAAGAAATATCCTTGAAGCCAATTTATCTGCCGATACAGTGAAAAGTTTTTTCCTTAATAAAATCATTTAAAACAAGTAAATATCTACTAACAAGTTAAATTATCTCAGAATCTCAAAATTAGACATATTTGATACATTATCTGGTCAAAAGTATGTGGACACCTGACCATCACACCTATATAAGCTGCTTGAACATCCCAATCCAAAACCATGGACATTAATATGGAATTGGCCCCCTTTCCAGCTATAACAACCTCCACTGTTCTGGGAAGGCTTTCCACAAGATTTTCGAGTGTGTCTGTGAGAATTTGTGCTCATTCAGTCAAAAGAGCATTTGTGAGGTCAGACGCTGATGTCGGATGAAAGGGCCTGGCTCACAGTCAACGTTCCAGTTCATCCCAGAGGTGTTAAGTGGGGTTGAGGTCAGGGCTCTGTGCAGGAGGACACTGGAGTTCCTCCGCTTTATGGAGCTCGCTTTGTGCACAGGGGCACAGTCATGCTGGCACAGGAGAGGGCCTTCCCCAAAGTGCTGCCACCATGTTACAAGCCGATAATTGTCTAAGATGTCTTTGTATGCTGTATGCCTCATCCCGAACACTATAAAACAGCCCCAGATCATTATCCCTCCTCCACCAAACTTTACTATTGGCATTATGCATTCCGCACTCCTGGCATCAGCCAAAGCAAGATTTCTCAATGAGACTGCAAGATAGCGAAGCATAATTAATCATTGCAAAGTACAGATTTCCACTGCTCCAGAGTCCAATGTTGGTGTGCTTTACAGCACTCCAGCTGACGCTTGGCATTGCACAGTGATATAAGGCTTGTGTGCAGCTGCTCGGCCATTGAAACCTATTTCATGAAGCTCCCGATGCACAAGTTTTGTGCTGAGTCATGCAATAGAGGATAAGCGGTTTGCTACATGCTTCAGGGCTGAGTGGCCCCACTCTGTGAGTTGCGTAGTCTTTCGCTTCATAGCCGAGCTGTTGTTGCTCCTAGACGCTTGCATTTCATAACAGTAGCACTTACAGTTGACCGGGGCAGACCTAGCAGAGCAGAAATTTCACAGACTGAGTTGTGGCAAAGGTGGCATCCTGTGACAGTGCCACATTTAAAGTCACTGAGCTCTTTAGTGCGACCAATTCTACTGCCAGTGTGTGTCTATGAAGACTGCAAGACTATGTGCTTGATTTTATAGGCCTCTTAGCAATAAGTGTGACTAAAACATTTGAACTCAATAATTAGGAGGATTGTCCACATACCTTTGTGGCCACATAGTGTATATGAACCAGATTTAAAATCATTTTACTTGCTAAAATAACACTTTTTGCAGTGTATGATAATGAAGGACTCTAACACATATATTAGCTGCTCCTTTCTCCCAAGTTTAACTAATACATAGCCATTAAAATATGCCAGGATCAGCTCTGGTCAATTGTGGTAAACTTTGAGGAAGACTATTATTTCCCCTCCGCGACCCAGAAGGATAAGAGGCTTAGAAAATGTGTGTGTGTGTATTATTTTCCAGGTTTTTTGTCATGTTTTCGGAGTTCATTTCTTGGTCTCTTGTACCCCCCTTAGTAGCTGGGTCCCTGAAAGTTTTGCACTTTATTGCCCTCCCTTGTGGGCAGCTCTGCACTTACTTAAGTCCAGGCCGAAACACCCCTTAGAGCTTCAGCATGAAGTGGTGGAGCTGCACTGCTGTGCACTGTAAGAAAATGGTTTCTTATTTTGATCTAAAAAGTGGACAAAAATTTAAGTGGTTTTATTAACATATTAATTAAATAAATGATTTGCAAATAAATTGTTTAAATGAAAAAAAGCTAAATGTGACATCAATTTAAAGCTCTAAAACACTTTACCTTCGGCCCTGTTCCACTTTTTACAGTACTGTGCAAACGCCACCCTTTTAACGTTTAATTTCCAAGTACAAGTTATTCATTTTTCAGGAGATATTTCTGAGGAGAAGAACAGTAAGATAGATATAAGAGAATCCCTGTGCATGAGGAAGAGTAAAGTTATAAGTAACAGAAACAGGAGTTTGGAGTTCAAAGTATGATAGATACAGAGAAAATGGGCCTCCTAACAACCACCTGCAACACTGGGCAGACCTTCAAAACTGTCCCCATCAGATAAACATTACTTAATGCTTTTGTCTTTGAGAGAGAGGAGAAAATCAAGCTGCTTCAGATCTGAAAACATCCACAGCTGTTTCTGTCCATCCTTCCACTGAGAGAAGACAACTCAGCGCTATGGGTCTGAAAGAATGAGCAGCTGACAAGAAGCTCTTACTGAAGAAAAAAGAAGATCAAAGAAGCTGCTAGTGTTCTCATAACAAGGGACTGACCACCTCAGAGTCCAGGCATCAACATCACTGAATGTGTTTGGGATCATTTGGATCATGAGAAGCAGATCAAGTTCAACCAACCTCTAAGACTGAACTGGAGGTGTGGAAAAGTATCCAGATTTATCCAGTATGCAGATTTATTTGAAAAAAAAACAAAGAGTCTCCTGAAGAGAATGAAAGCTGTAATAAAAGTAAAGCTTGGACACACTGAGTACTGAAAAGCTGATCTTTAGTTGTTGAGGCTTTTTAATTTTGTGTTAAATATGTTTTCTGCTTTTTTTCCTGATGCTGAAAAATTAACAACTTGTACCTATTGGTTGTTTTGACTGGAAATTAAATAAACAAAGGGGGGTCTCTGACTTTTGCACAATGTAAATGTGTTGGTTTTTGTGACATCACAAAAAATAGATCCAAAACAGCTCAGTGTCCATATATGGACTGCATGGACTGGGGAGTGAAAAGTACATATTGAAACTTTAACACTGTTTACATACTACATCAAACTCTTTTATTTTTTTTTTAAAAAGTGAAAAATTCTGTTTTCCATAAAAACTGCTGGTTAACACAAGAGCGTTAAATAGCTCTTCACAGTTTACAATGTAAGCATTTTTTCCTGCTCTATTACACCTAGCAGACCTGGTAGCTCAGTATTTCCCAGCCCCCGTCCTGTAGTCCATACTGTACATGTTCATGTTTCCCTGCTCTCACCTGATTCAGCTCCAGAACTGAGAGGATGACCGAGTCCTTCACCATTTAATACTGCATTTCACATGTCTTAAACAGAAATGACACCTAATTAACAACATTTTGTACATGAAGTTATTCATGCATGAACTTATACTACATTCTAGAGAAACATATCGAGTCAGACTTGTTCACAGTGGTGGTGATAGGAACCAGGGGTCACCGTGTCTACAACACAAATACAGCCAATTTATTTACTATCCAGAACCACCAGTGGACCCACATGTCTTCTGAGTTTTCATCTGCAATGTTGATGATGGTAAACAGTGGTAAATCTAAAAAAAAAAGTTTTCTTTAGGTACTATTTTGTCTCACAACACCCTGCATGTACCTCTCTGCCATGAACGGAGTTTAAAACATACAATTTGGGCCAAAACCTTTTCTTTAAACTATTTACTACCGTTTTGTGTATGTGATGGAGCTTTCAGCATTAAAGGTTGTTAAACGCTCCAGACGTCTGGTTCCTATCACCCCCACTGTGAACAGTTCTGACTTTAGGCTGGAGCGCTTCACGCCAAACACTCTGAATGGCTTTGTTACCTGTTTCATTATGCTGACAGTTTTTAAAAGTAGGTGAAATTGCCCTTTAACCAAACACAGTACTCTGTGTTTCTCAAATCTCTCTCTGTCTCTCTCTCTCTGTGTGTATATATATATATATATATATATATATATATATATATATATATATATATATACACATATATACACACACATGTGTGTATATAAAAGTATGTAAGATCTTTTCTCATCTTATCTCTTACACACAATCTATCTTCTAAACCGAGTCCGTGTGCGCGGCGATGCGAGCGAGCGCGCGCCCTGCTGGTGACGCAACCGCGCCGGTGCGCGGCCCCGCGCCTGACGTCACGGCGCTCCATTGGCTCAGGACTTCGGTTGTGGCTTCGTGTGGCTGTGTGGGAAGGAGAGAGAGAGGGAGAGAGAGAGAGAGAGAGAGAGAGAGAGGGAGAAAGGAAGAAAGAGGGAGAGATCACGACCCCCCTCCCCGAAATAACCCACAAACTTTCAACGTTCATGTGAATCCGCGCGCGCGCGCACTCCTCACGGGATAAGCAGTGGACCGAGGTAAGCGCGTTCATGCGGTCCGGAGCGCCGGACTCGGTATTATTTCTCCCTCTGCTGAGTGCAGGAGTCGGTGTGGACACCGGGGGCGACGGGGATCACCGTGTGTCCTCCCTCGCGCTCCGCAAAGAGCCTGTTGTGGTTGTTGTGGTTTGTTTGTGCGATCCGGTGTTGGGACGAGGGACGAGAGCAATGGCTGCGGAGAGAGAGAGAGAGAGAGAGAGAGATGCTCGTTCCCACGCTGCTATGAGCAGCAGGGCTGAGTGCACGGCGGCGTAGCAGATTAGACCCCAGCAGCTGATGCTGCCTTGTTGTTTTTGCAGCAGCAGCCTTCTCTCCCCCCTTCCCTCCCTCCCCATGCATCCCCACCTAGCATGCATGCAGCCCACACGTAGCGAGGAATTGCGGATGCATACACCTGAGGGACAGGACTGCACTGCACTGCCTGTGGGAAGCAGCCTGGAGCCTCCAAGCAGGGCCTTTATCCGAGTGGTGTGTTTTGAGATCACTTGGGTTTAGTGCTCATCACCTGATTTGTATGCCTGGGATAGCTGCCCTGAGATGAGTTCACTTAAGCTGACTTGTGTGCTTGATGGAGCTACTTTGGAATTGCTCTAGTTGTAATTTCGCTATAGTTGTACCTTAAGGTGCCTTATAGGTACCGTAAGATGAGTTCACTTAATTGGACTTGTGTACTTGAGAGAAGTTCTCTTAACCTGAATAACATGTTTCGGTTAGCTACTCTAGGATGAGTTCATTTTACTTAAGTAGTGTGCTTGGGATCAGTTCCCTTCAGCTCACTTGTGTGCTTAAGATGGCTAAGTTGAGATGAGTTCACTTCTGACTTTTGTGCTTGAGAGAAGTCCTCTTGACCTGAATAGTGTGCTTGAATTAGCTCCTCTGGGGTGAGTACATTTCACCTGAGTAGTGTGCTTGGGATGAGCTCCCTTCAGCTCACTTGTGTGCTTGAGATAAATACCTTAAGAGTAGTTCTCTTGACTTGTGTGCTTTAAAACGATACTTTCGGCTGACTTCATTTCAGGTAGCGTGCTTGGGATGAGTTCACTTCAGCAGACTTTTATGCTCTGTGCTCGAGATACCTTAAGATGAGTTCACTTCATCTGACTTGTGTGCTTAAGATGGCCAGTTTAAGAGGCCTAACTTGAGATGCTTAATTCATTTTTATGCTTAAGATGGCGCAGAAGTGAACTCCTCTTCACCTGAATAGTGTGCTTTAGTTGGGTACTTCGGGATGAGTACAGTTTCCCTGAGTAGTGTGCTTGGGATGTGTTCCCTTCACCTGACTTGTGTGCTTGAGGTAAATATCTTAAGAGGAGTTCACTTGACTTGTGTGCTTTAAACCACTACTTCAGGCTGACTTCATTTCACCTGGCTAGTGTGCTTGGGATGAGTTCACTTCACAGTTTGTGCTTGGGATACCTTAAGATGAGTTCACTTCACTTGACCTGAGTAGTGTGCTTGACATTGCTACCTTGGCATAAGTTCTGCCTTAGGAATGTTTTGGGATTTTACCAGAGTGATTGGCAAGCTGGGTTTGGAGCTGAGCTGCTGTCCTGCCTTTTTGTTAGTCAGTTGTCATAGATGGCCTGGTCAAACGTTTAGTTGTCAAAAAAGGTCTGGTCAAGTGACTTCCCTCATAGTAATGTCTCAAAGCTCACATTATGTTTGGTAGAATATGAGGTCAGTGATTTAGAATGAATCGGCGGCCTGTTTGAACTGATGTACAGTCACTTTTTAATCATTTAACCTGTCTTCCAGAGCCGCAACCTTTGTCCTGGTAGTTTGCATGGCTGTTTTTTATGGGTGCGCTGACATGCAGGTTGCGGTCATTACGACAGGATTTGCTCTTCCTGTCTCTCCAGGCCGTTGTAAAAGTAACAGCGGAGCAAAGGGCGCCGAAGACTTGTACATCCTCGGTTTCCACATGTAGATTCAGGGTTGCTGTAAAACTAAGGCTGTTCTTTCATATGGATTGGCAAGCCAGTCCAGTCTTGAACTGAGCTGAGCAAAGTAGCCTCGGGTTCTCCTTGGCAGGAGCTAAATGTGGACCAGTTAGGTTGCTCACACATTAAACTGCAGGTCTGCCCCCACGTGTGTGGGGTAATTGGCAGTCATGTTGGAGACGTTGTCCTCAGGATTATGTTACAGCCTGTGTTTTGCCTTCCACAGACAGTGGCGGCGTGTTATTTTAATATGAGGCTGTCAGGCCTCGTGTGTCACCTTACCCTGTTTGTCCACCGCGACACGCCTACAGGTGCAGTTACCTAGGCATCATGACTCACCTGTTCAGCTTGGACTGAAGGCTGGTTGTGAAGGCAGGCCAACGCATGTGGGAAAGTCAGGTGCTAAAAACGTCTAATTTATATGCAAGATCAGGTTTCATAAAGTCTGCTGGTGCTGCAGTGCTTACGTGAGGCTCCACAGCAGCGGTGCACAACTCCTAGAGTCCTAGAGGGCCGGCATCCAGCACAATTTGGTGATTTACCTGCTCTAACACACCTGATTCAACTCGTCTGCCCAACTGTGCTGGACACCGGCCCTCCAGGACTGTAGTTGTGCACCACTGCTCTACAAAGAAATGTGTTCAGGCTTATGAGTGTTGTCATTGAGGAAGATGCTTCCTTTGTGCTGTGAATTTTTATTTTTCCCAAAAATTCAGCATGATTAAATCCTAAAGATGTAAACAAAGTTGTTCAGAGTGGTTTGAAATGCGAATTGCTTCTTACCTAGTCGTTACCTAATCGTTCACAGTGGTGCTGATAGGAACCAGATGTCCCAAGCCTCTAAAAGCTCCTTGTGAATACGCTGCCTGATGCCTGTGACATTGAGTGCGTTTACATGCACTCGATAATCTGATCATAATTGGATATCTGTGTTTATCTAATGATTCAAATGGTCATGAAAACTCACCCCCCCCAATTTAAGGTAAGGTCTAGGAATCCGATGAAGAGAGCTGGATTGTAGCTTAGTAATCAGATTTCTCAGTGCATGTAAACTCTTACTCTGATTTCTTTCTTTTTTCTCAGTCTGTGCATGTGTGAAACAGACGGTGGTACCGGCAATAAGCAACCAACTACATGCTTCATGAAATGAAGGATTTAAATATTCTTCTTCGTCTAGATGGTGTATGTTCATAGCTTCAGGTAAAGTGGTGCAATGTTTAAAACAAAAAACTGAGACAAAGTCTGAAGTTTGAGTCCGAAGTCTGAGTTTTACATTACGTTACATCACATCTTCTTCCATGAGTGTATTGGCTCTTTACAAAGCAGAAATCCGATTACTGCCTGACTCATGTAGACCTGGAGTTTCCCCATTATTTGATTACTCAAGTGCATGTAAATGCGCTGATTGAATTACTGATTACGACAAGATCACGTCAAGACCCAACTGCTCACATTGTGTTCAGATCGGACGTCGTTTCCTGAATGTGTGTTGGACTCACGTCGGGGTTAAATTTCACAAGAAGGTTTTACAGCCCGCCTCCCACTTTTAAAAGATTTTTCCTTTCACTTCCCCCAGTTTTTCTCCTTTAGTTTTTCTCCTTTTACATTGAAGTCACGTTTTAAAAGAGTGAGATTTTCAGATCCCAAGAGCTGCAACATTGGTTTAACAATATTTAATTGGGTAACCTAATAATTCAGAGCTTTGGCGTTTCAGCCTCAAATGTGAAAAAGCAGATGTGTGGGTCTTCTTGGCAAAAGTGTGCCTGAAGCTTAATTCCTAGAAAATAATCACATTTAAATTTTAACTGCAATATTGATCAGGAAAATTGCAACTGGATATTTTCCTCAAATTGTTCAGCCCTACTGGAATCATCCACTCATGTTGTCAACAGAATTTTGCACTGAGGTCTTTGAGCCTGTGCTTGTGAGGAAATGGATTTGTAGGAAATTAAACAGTGAAAGTACTTCAGGAAAATACAAATTGGTGCAGCCAAAAGGATATTTTTTGTATGTGTATTATGTTTTATGTAGCATGTTCTATGTGAAGAAATAGAGATTTAGGATTAAACAGGTGAAGGTTAACGTCTCACTATATCAGCAGCGCACACTGTGGATAAAGCACGTTTTGAACAGCTGATTAGTTTATCATATTTTTTTCTCTCATTTAATGCCAGCTTTTATTATTGCTATATGATTTAACTGGTGCTGTCTTTAAAGATATCAGATTATTGTGCACTTTGGGTGATGATGGGATGGTGAAAGCCAGTTTCAGACAGAATTTTGTCAGGCTTGAGTCTGTTTCAGGCTTAAAATTTAGTGATTTGGGTCAGATTCAAACAAAAAATTATCAGGCTGTTTTTGGGTTCAGATCAAAATTTCAGGCCTGATTAAAGCTCCAATTCAGTTCATCGTGGAGGCACCATATCAACCTACTCACATAGATTTCGTGGAAAGGTGATTTAATACCCCGACCTGTGATTCACTATTGAAAGCGAAAGTCTTACAAAGACCTTGTTGTGTAGTTCCCAGTCAGTTTTTGCACCTACAGTTAGTTATTGCTCTTTATCTGAAGTTATTCTTGTAGTTTGGTGCTCTTATGCCATTTACCATTATGCATGTTTCCTTGGACAGGATCACTCAGTCCAAATGGACCATATTTAGAAAAGTAAGCTGCAAAAACAGTCAGTTTTGGTGTGTGACGTCATGACAACCAACACATTTACATACAGTCATAGGCAAACATTTGTGTTCCCCCTGGTCAAATGACGTTTTGTTGATTTAAATGAAAATGAGTGAACACATCCTCTTCAAAGAGCGCATGTCTGCACATTTTACTGCACAGTTACTGTTGGGTGAATAACATAGTGAAAAAAAAACACATAAAATGTGTCCTGTGCAAAAGTTATGGCACACTTTATATGTTGTGTCTTTTTTATGTTAAACTCAGCAAATAAACAGAAATTGGCACTAAAATTTTAAGTTTGTTCCCTTGTTCCCTAGAAAATTAGCAAAACATGTCATGTGACCTGTTCAAAATTT